CCCCTTCGCAGCGGACGTGGAAGATACCTGTGGAAACTTACGATGAAGTAACTTGCGGCCGCAATACTGGCAACTCTTGATGACAGCTGCTTAGTAACCCAATTGTGTCCGAACAATTCATAAAAAAGGGCACTTCTGTGGATACGCGTAGAAATTGTGAACTCTCAGCAGTTGTGGTTAAATTGCCTGGTGGAACACGGCGATTGGAGCTCACCTTAGTCAACCCTTTTGAGTTTTCTGATGGGCAGTGGAGAACAACACGTGCGACTCAACACACATTGGGTGAAACTGTGCGCAAGGGTTTTAATTTTTGGCATGGCCACTTCATCAGAAGTCTGAAAACTAACTTTTTTCACTACACAAACAAACAGTATGGGAAACAGTACATATGCTCCTATATGCAGGTGCAAGCCTTACAGAGTTTGTCAATAACTTTGTTGATCGATAAATTTTCTGGTACACGAGATGCTAAAATCGATTATTTTGTTTCCATAAACTAACTGCATTACTACAAATCATTCCACACTGTGGAGCTTAAGGTCTTCGACCATTAACTCAAATGTTACAGCAACATGTCGACAAAAGCACGTCAACATACACACACTCACATACGAGAAAACAATAATAAGTACAATCATACTTTTGGACCCGTTTCCTAGTTCTCCTATCTATTTGACAACAGAGTCACCAGCTTATTATTAATACAGTGTGCTTAAAAAACTCATAAAATCTAGCAAATTGGATCGCGGATATAATGTGTGGAACAATAGCAATGTATAGAAACTGTCAGTTATGGAAATATTTCATGGAATTCTTCCTTTCCTATATTTTACGTACCACAGTTCGCCTGTGAGAGATCAACCAAGATGGTGAGGCCATCCAGGTGGAGGAACATTCGGCGGAGGAATCGAAGTGTTTGGTATCAAAGGAATCATGGGTGGTGGCATTGTGACGACGTTGGGAGCGTACAAGTTCGGCCTAGAAGATTCAACACATAAAAACCTTATCATGTAGCTTATTTTATAGAGCACAGTAATAAACAAATAATCAAATATAGGATACATAGATAAAAAAAAACTAGAAGCGTTTGGATATGCTTGAGTGCTTTATAGCTATGCCAAAAAACAGCGACACGAATTCATGTAACCGATTGATGGCACTTAGGATGTCATATCTAAAGGCCTTCTCACGATTTTAAGCGCCCGCAATGGAAGGCATCCTTCAAAACCTTGTCAAGAAGCATAAGAAAGGTAAGAAGCATTTCACTGCTACTCAGAATAGATACAGCGGGACATGGAGGGCTGCCGAGCACAATTTTGTGTGGTGACCCTCTCATACAAGCCTGGTATCAGTCAACTCCCGTGGACGGAGCTTGTTTGGACAGGACTGATCAACTGAAAGCAAGTTTTTTGAATTGAATTTCTGATCACCCTGTGATTGTGGCGTAAACTGTCATCACCCCATCTTCGCCCAGCTTTAGATTCTACAAACATTACAAATTACTTCACAGGAGTTGGGTCCACATGGGACTATTCGTACCTTGTAGAATCAAAACTTCTGAGCTCGTTTTCTTGTTTTCCTTTTTTTGTAAACTAGACCTGATCTCTAAACAAAAACAGGAGAGGATCCTGCAGCGTACTCAAGCAGCTGACTTATGCTTTACTGAGCCGGGAATGGGATCCACTGCCACGATTGGGCAATGAAATCATGGACACCCGCTTTCTTCAACGACTTCTAAATCTTCCCTTGCTTTTCGTGCATATTATTAGTGATACCAAATTTAGGGCGAAAGCGCTGAGAGGCACCACTCCCCACGCGCACGAGTCCGGAGTCAAATATCGGCTCGAATCTCGCCCAATCCTAGTAAACCTTCCCTCCTCGTTGGTACCAGACTCACCTAGTGGGATAAAAACACTGGCTTAAAGGCAGCGATTACGATAGATTCAAGAAGGGTTTAAGAAGACCTGGTGGTGCTCAATAGTACGCCAGTGGCGAAAAAAAGCGGAGAAATCCGTACGCAAAACGGGACCCCTTTTTTCGGCCGTTGTTTCACTCATGAACAGGTAACAGCTCAGAAAGCGGACGTATGAACGAGTTCACGCAACGCGTTTGGTGACAGCATGCCAAACCACGCTCCAATCGAGTTGCTCCAGTTGTGCCGCTGCTGGCAACGCAGCTCGTCCAAATCACCAACTAAACTAGTGGGCGGATCGCTTTTGGGGGGAGTGCTTTCGAAGTCCTGCTCAGCAACCAGCGCAAATTTCGTCGTGAAAGCGTTACACCTCGCTTCCGTGGCAGCCAAGTAACTGATTCGTGTGGTGCATATGCTTCCCCAATGTGCTCCCTCTTCATCGTAATCGCCGCCTTAAAGTAAAGTTGTTAAGCGCGCATCTGCGCAGTCTCTGTGTATTTTTTATATAAATAACCATTACCCCATGCATAATTTGATTATTGCTAATGAATTGTTTGCAAAAATCTGAAACATGAACAATGCGAAATGGTTCAACAATAACGAATATCCTCCATGTGAAAGTACGGGTCATATGTGGCCTGCGCTGGCGCCAATGTTTTGAAGCACATCGGACGCTGAGCCATACCTCCAAATATGACATGCCTTAGAAACAAGTTATTCAGATTTGCATCGATACTTTTCCACTTAGGAGATAATATTGCAATAGGTCAAGTGAAACGTAAACGATTTGCTACAGATTTTAAGAATCAAGATTCGTAAACCTCATGGCACTGTTATGAGAAAAATCGCGTACGTCACAAGAGAAGAAGGAGGTGGAACGGAGAAATTCGGTAACACAGGTGGAGGAGCATCCCATCGACTTCTTGGACGAAAAGTTGGTTACCTAAAAAAAGACGTAGTCAGTTTTTGGCGAATCGTAGCTTTGGGAATAGCTTAGTACCTGTACTGCCAATGGAGATGTGCGACTTGCTACAGTTGTAGTGACCGGGAAGTGGGAAGTCTGTGGCACGACAGATAACGGTGAGGCCTTGAATGAAATTTTTTGGTGATAGGGATTACCACAATTGGCACAATGTGACTGTCATGATATAACACTACATACAATCATTAGAACACTACATACACACAGGAAACCCTCCGTAAAAGAGCTCACCTGTTGCTGCGTGACTGATGGCATAGTTGTTGAAGGGGTTGGAAGAGTCTGCACAACCAGCGATGGGTTTGCGGGAGGAGGGTGATTGAACACAGTTGGAAGACGAGTTGCTGTATTTTGTGACTCATTCACACGACTGACAGGAGACACCTAGGTGAGAGAAAGTCAACTTGGCATTGCGTTTCTTTGATATGCTACCGATCTATCGTTATGAAGTCACTCCGCCTTCTGTGAACTCTTGCCGAGTTCTGCTCGGTTATCTTTTTCCGAGGAAACTATAGGCTACGCAATGTCCCTGGAACATAAATTGCCCCACTAATGCGGTCACGAACTTAAAGGCAAGATTCGGGATAAAATAGGTGTGGAAAAGCGTTCAGTTATGAAGCTAGAGGTGGGAGGTGGTCTGTAAAAGAGAAGGAAAGCAAACGAAACCACCGATTACGCCCCGTACAGAGACCTCCCCTATTTCAGCCACATTCCACCTTGGGATAGAGAAGAGGCGCGTTGGACGAGTTTCACGAACCTAACTCTAGTTGCTCCAGTGCCAATGACATTGGGTCGCGGTGGGACCGCTGCCTCAAATGCGCCCGCGCTTTTCAAGCAGCGCCACGTGGCAACCGACAGCGGAGGGTGGGGCTTGCGGACGAAGGTGTGAGTTGCGGGTCGGACGAGCTCCTTGCGCCTTTGTCGCGCACTTTCAAGCGGCAAAAGGGGCGCGACATCAACACTTGTCCGCCTGCCTACTACCCCCGGGATGGAACAGGCGAGCGCGCCTAATCGCGGAGCGTGGCTTTAACAAAATTTTCGAAAGCGTCATCGGAAGTTCAACCGCGAGGCAAACAGACAAGGCCTCACTGGGTTAAGAATTCTGTAGCAGATCTCACCGGAATACAATCCGAAAGAATGAAAATAATACTTACTACTGATAAGGTCACGCCTCCATGCACAGGAGCTTTGTTTTCGCTGCCATTAATGGAAATAGGAGCAAGCTTATCGGGCAAACTGTTCACATTGCTTGGCACTGGTGATATTTGCACAAGCCGTACCGTGGGAACTGTCGTTTGAGAAGTCTGTAAAAAAGAACGATAATCGTAATGAAAGTCCATTTTGACTATCAGGACCATGATGTACGAAATCAGTAAGGAAACAACGAAGTTTAGATGGGCTAAAGAAATAAAAAATATTTCTGAACAAAGCAGATATCCATATGACAGAAACAAGTACGGTTCTTGATACCTTATCCGAGTCACTATTCGATAGTGCAACATGAGGGACCTTGTCCGTGACAGTCGCCTGAAAAAGTTTTTTTTTTGAGAATCATTACAGAACTGGAGATGGCCAACAAAAATCGAAATGAATAAGTTCCGGTGCACTCAAAACACCTACGGTAGTGCTTTCGGTATTGTTCTTCTCTGCAGAGCTGACTGTCTGGGTACGTGTCTGGGTTCCCGACGCTGTAACAAGAACGCAGTTTTTTTTTTAAAATGAGACAACAAAATATGAATTCTTAAGCAATAAATAGTGCACTAAGCTGGGCATCTCTAGTGAGGAAGCGTTTTAAACATAA